TACTTTCCTATGAGACCGGCTGAATGCACGCGCAGCTCTTGCTGCGCGTGCGCATTCAGCCAAAAGGGAGGATCGGAGGCGGAGAGGAGGAGGAGAGCTCCCCGCCCGGCGCTGGAAAAAAAAGGTAAGTTTTAACCCTTTGCTCTCCCCAGAGCCAGGCGGGAGGGGGACCCTGAGGGTGGGGGCACCCTCAGGGCACTATAGTGCCAGGAAAACGAGTATGTTTTCCTGGCACTATAGTGGTCCTTTAATGGTACTCATAGGCGTGCGCAGCCTATTGCATGTATGTGTGTGTGTATATATATAATATATATATATATATATATATACACACATACATACACGTGTGTGGGTGTTGTGTGTGTGTGTGTGTGTGTGTGTGTGTATAAGGGTGCTGTGTGTGTATAAGGGTGCTGTTAGTGTGATGTGTGTGTGTGAGGGTGCTGTTTGTGTGCTGTGTGTGTGTTTGTTAGGGTCCTGTTAGTGTGCTCTGCGTGTGAGGGTGCTGTTTGTGTGCTGTGTGTGTGAGGGTGCTGAATGTGTGAGGGTGCTGTGTGTGGGTGCTGTGTGTGTGCTGTGTGTCAAGGTGCTGTATGTGTGTGGTTGCTGTGTGGGTGCTGTATGTGTGTCTGTGGGTGCTGTATGTGTGTGTGTAGGTGCTATGTGTGTGCTGTATGTGTGTAGGTGCTGTGTGTGTTTGTGCTGTATGTGTGGGTGCGTGTGGGTGATTGTGGGGGGTGGAGGTGGGGGTACATTACTTAATATCCCCCTTCCCTTATTAGCTAATGTAGGGAGGGGGGATTGTGCTGCTGCCATCCCTGGTGGGCCAGTGGAGAGTGAACTCTAGCCTGTGGGGCTAGAGTTCACTCTCGCGAGATCTAAGCGTTGCCGCGGCAACACTCCAACCTCGCGAGAGGAACCTGGCGGAGCTGCTGGTTGAGCTCCCCGGGTCCTCTCCTGCCTCCCTCCATGCTGCTGTGGGGAGGGAGGCTTAGAGCAGAGCCGGCGCTCGGATAGCGCAGGCTCTGCATGAGCCGACAGGGGAGATCCTGAGATCTCCCGTGCCGGTCTCAATACATAGGCGTGCCGCGGGGATTAGGGTGTGCCTAGGCACACCCGGCACACCCCGTGCGCATGCCTATGATGGTACTTTGGTTGATGGGTAATCCAGAGAGATGTATCCCCGTTTCATTCTTAGAAATGACTTGCTTTATAGAGTGATTAAAGATGAGGGGCTAGAGATTGAACAGCTCTTGGTACCCAGATCTTTCAGAAGGAAGGTCTTAGATTTGGCTCATTCTCACTTATTTGGGGGGGGCCTAGGGGTTTAAAAAAACTCAGGAAAGGATTCTAAGGAGATTTTTCTGGCCTGGGGTATGAAGAGGTCAAGAGGTACTGTGCCTCATGCCCAGACTGCCAACTAGCAGCCCCAAAACCTCACTTAAGAGCAGCCTCAATCCCATTGCCTATAATTGAAACCCCTTTTGAGAGAATTGCTATGGATTTGGTGGGACCATTGGAAAAGTCAGCTAAGGGTAATCAGTACATTCTGGTTGTATTGGATTATGCCACACGCTATCCAGAAGCTATTCCACTTCGCAATACTGCTTCCAAAACTATAGCAAAGGAATTGCTCATGGTATTTTCTCGGGTAGGGTTACCAAAAGAGATTTTAACTGACCAAGGTACCCCTTTTATGTCCTGACTAATAAAAGAGCTATGCCAATTATTGCAAAAAAAGGCCTCTCTGACCCTGCCACAGTACCTACAGGTTTATTCAGAGTACATTTCATTGGATAATCAACCTGTTCGATTCTGTTTTTCTCTCGTTTCAGTTTACAGTCCATCAACGCTATCTGGTGTGGCAATTCTTCTCGGATGGTGGACATTGCTGTATTCATTGTATCTAGGACTTTGTTTCTTCCCCATTATTTTTTCTGCCTTTGTTCTGTTTTGTTGCAGCTTGAAAGAGGAAATGATGCATGGGGAAGGGAGTTTTATAATACCTAACTTTTTTCTGATTGGTTGTTTTTCTGTGCTGCTGTGGAGTTCTAGTAAAGAGAGACTTAAGCAAATAATCGCCTCCTGTCATTAATAATAAAATTAAGATTATAGGTACACTAAAGCTAGCATAATCTACAATTATTTTAATATGCCTTGTAATAAAATAAAGATCAAATTTTTTATAATTTAATTTAATGAATTCTTCTCATTGGCTTAATTACTTTTTTGGGTTTAATGCTCACTGGTTATTTTATTAGTGTCTCTACCCTAACCATTGTTAATTCTTTTTTTGCAGCCATAACACTAAAAAATAAAAACAAGCAAAACTGTTTGTCTGTTGGCCTGTTTTGTTTGTTTTCTTGGTTCATCCATATAGCGTTTCAAAGTTATGAAATTCGAGAAGAAAATCCTCTATTCACTGCATCAATTTTTTTAAATTATAAACAAAAGCAAAACTCTTTTTGTTTTAAAAGTGGTTCAGAGGATGTGTGCTGAGCTTTTAAAGGACCACTATAGTGCCAGGAAAACAAACTAGTTTTCTTGGCACTATATAGTCCTTGGGTCCCCGCCACCTTCAGGGCTCCCTTTCCGCTGGGCCACTTACCTTAATCCAGCTCCGGGCTCCCTCGGCGCTGGTTACCTCTCCTCCGCCTCTGACATCAGCTCCCAAGTGGAGCCGAATGCACATAGGTGGCCAGAGCCGCACGCACATTCAAACCGCCCATAGCAAAGCATTACCCAATGCTTTCCTATGGACGTTCTGCGTGTTTAATGCGATTTTCATATTGAGTGTCGCAGAAGCGCCTCTAGCGGCTGTCAGGGATACAGCTACTATAGGCTGGATTAACCCTCAATGTAAACATAGCAGTTTCTCTGAAACTTAAATTCTCTGTCATTTAGGAGTTAAATCACGTTTGTTTCTGTTTATGCAGCCCTAGCCACACCTCCCTGGCTGTGACTGACACAGCCTGCTTGAACACAAAATGGTTTCTTATTTAATCACATGTAACTTACTAGTGATGTCGCGAACATGAAATTTTCGGTTCGCGAACCGCGAACGCGAACTTCCGCAAATGTTTGCGAACCGGGCGAACCGCCATAGACTTCAATGGGCAGGCAAATTTTAAAACACACAGGGACTCTATCTGGTTGAAGGGGGGGGGGAGGAGACCTACTCTCCTCCCCCCCCACCCCTGAGCGGTGGGTGGGGGCCCTAATAACAATAAGGGGGGGACCTATTGTACCCCCCCGGCCCCCACCCCTGAGCGGACAGTATGCGATAGTTTATCAGTATGCTTCAGCAGATACAAGAAGCACTGATTTAGTTGTATCATGTTGCTACCTTGATTAAAGGACCACTATAGGCACCCAGACCACTTCAGCTCAATGAAGTGGTCTGGGTGCCAGGTCCATCTATTGCCTGCTGTGAACATAGCAATTTCAGAGAAACTGCTATGTTTACATATGGGTTAATCCAGACTCTAGTAGCTGTCTCACTGACAGCCGCTAGAGGCGCTTCCGCACTTCTCACTGCGATTTTCACAGTAAGAAGGTGCCAACGTCCATAGGAAAGCATTGTGAATGCTTTGCTATGGACTGACTGAATGCGCGAGCGGCTCTTGCCGTGCATGCGCATTCAGCTGATGACGTCGGAAGGAGGAGGAGAGTCCCCAGCGCAGAGGGTAAGTGATTTAACCCCTTCCTCCTGGTGGGAGGGGGTCATGAGGGTGGGGGGGGACCTATTAACACTATAGTGCCAGGAAAACAAGTTTGTTTTCCTGGCACTATAGTGGTCCTTTAATTTCCACTACAGTGTTGATCTCAGAAAGCACATGTTCCTCAGACAAATCTAGACAATCTATCTGAACCTAGCTATCTGAGTCAAGTTTTAGCTTTAAAAACATTTTGTTCTTTATGTCCTAATGCTTAGTTATCTTGTCTTTACCTCCGATAGCAGTGGTTCCATACCATCTATGGACATATTTAGAAATGATCTTGAAGACAGCATTGAAAGTGTTTGCAGATGACACAAAACTTTGTAAAATAATACAATGTGAGCAAGATATTACTTTGCTGCAGAGGGATTTAGATAGACTGGGGGACTGGGCAGTCAAATGGCAAATTAAATTTAATGTTGAAAAATGCAAAGTTATGCACTTTGGCGTAAATAATACACAAGCAACGTATACCCTTAATGGAAGCGAATTAGGGATTACAACACATGAAAAGGACTTGGGAATTGTTATAGACAACAAACTATGCAACAATGTGCAATGTCAATCAGCAGTGATTCAGGTTAACAAATTTAAACCTATTTAGTTTAGAAAAACGTCGCCTGAGAGGGGATATGATAACATTATACAAATATATTCGGGGCCAATACAAACCATTGTGTGGAAATTTATTTACAAACCGGACTTTACATAGGACACGAGGGCATGCGTTTAGACTGGAAGAAAGAAGATTTTGTCTAAGGCAAAGGAAAGTTTTTTTTACTGTACAATCAGGATGTGGAATTCTCTGCCTGAAGAAGTGGTTTTATCAGAGTCCATACAGATGTTCAAACGGCTACTAGATGCATACTTGCAAAATCAGAATATTCAAGGATATAATCTTTCAATGTAGGGTAATAACTGATTGATCCAAGGATAAAGCTGACTGCCATTCTGGGGTCAAGAAGGAATTTTATTCCTAGCTTGTTGCAAAATTGTGCTTCAAACGTTTTTTTTTTTTTTGCCTTCTTTTGGATCAACAGCAAAAAACAAATGTGAGGAAGGCTGAACTTGATGGATGCAAGTCTCTTTTCAGCTATGTAACTATGTAACTATGTAACAGTCCCTTTTAAATTTTATCATGACTTCAGACAAATTCAGACAAAATCAATCATTATTTTTTGGTTCCAATGCTGGAATCGTTGAACAGTGACTTATTATTTTATGTTGTCCAACACATAAATAAATGCATCTTTTCACTTTTGTATTTTTACAAAACAGAATCGCAAGAAGTGTGATTAAATGGAACATTTGAGAAATCTCCTCCTGGAGCCAACTGGGCATGCCTGAGAGAAACTCAAAATGGATGTTTTCACAAAGTTCTCCTAGATGCTCTCAAGAGCTTACCGAGGCAGCCATGAACCATTGTCAGTGGGCCAGTCTGTGCTGTGATGGAAGAAAGGGGAAGTTGTAGTATGAACATTTAGAGGTTAACTCCACCCCAGGGAAACAATCTCGGTAGTTTACTCTTTATCTACTGTCAATAAATGTAAAAACAAAAGTTAGCTCTTAGTCAATCACTCCTTATCATAAAACTGGCTTGAAAAGAAATGTACCTTTTTGCAAGCCAGTTTTTTTAATAAAGAGTCACTGATTGGCTGAGAGCATCAGCTGACATGTGGTACTCTGCGCTTCCTGAAACTGAGATTCAGAAGCGAGATGCTGCCTGGGGTCCTGAGGATCGGTGCTTGAGGTTCACGTTGGGGTTATACCATTCGAGAATGGTTTCACTCGTTAAGGTAAGAGTGCCCTTGGGGGCATAATAGCACCATAACAATGTAAATTAGATTAAGTTGTTATGGTGCCTAAACTGTCCCTTTAATGCTGAAACAACGTTATCATTCACAAGTTGTGAGAAAAGGTTGGACAATCCACATCAGGTCACATTTTAGAGAACACAGGGTTATTCAAAAAACAGCTAAATTTTCTCACTTTGTTTAGGGTCTACGTGTATATTTGTTGACTGTCCAGTGATGGTTTTCTTAGTCATCATGTCCAAGGCATCATTTGTGGCAGAAGAGGAGTTATAAGAGACTATTTACTTTAAATCTTCATAAACGTTATCTTTTCTGTTTCGTTTTACTCTGTATAGCATGATCACCAAAGCGATAATGGCAATCAAAAGCACAGCAATGGCGGCTCCAACACCTCCATAGAGAGCCGCTAGCAATATCCGACCACGGCAATTAGAGGAAGTGTACATATATTTGTCAGTACTGGGACATCTGTAGAGAGATAAAAGTGTGATACAATCTTAAAAAAACATTAAACCATCTAATGAGTTTTTGCTACTATTTTCTGCACAAAGGCAACAGCATTTTTTTTTAAAGCGGATGGTGAATGACATCCTGTATGACCACCGTAATATTTTTAGTGGTGCTTCTTTGTGCAAAGGTGACAGTCAGTTGCCATGGAGGATAGGTAGGGAACTACATACTGCTACAGATACCCAATCAAGGGAATATAATTCCAGGCAAAGCATACATTTTTAACCACTCGTTTACCACACAGGGATGATATGAATAGGGGAACCATTTGCAGGGCCGGTGCTAGGATTTTTGACTACACAGGCGAAGATGCATTTTGACGCCCCCTCCCCCCCCCAAAAAATAAACAATGCATCTTCACCTCTGTGTCTCGTAGCCCCCTTTTGAATTTCTTACCCCCATTAGTGTTGCATATCCACTCTCTTGAATGTCTTACCCCTTTGGCCCCTTTGTGCCTTACACCCCCCTTTAGTGTGTCTCCTACAACCCCTCTTATGTATTTCTTACTTCCCCGCCAGCCCCTATCTATCTCTCTTTTTCTCCCACATAGACATAGATACAGGCAAAAATACATACATGCACAAATACACAAACATACAGACACACAACCATACAAGCACACAGACATAATTTTTCAGGCACACAGTCACAAAGATATACAGACACACAGTCATAAAAGGCACACAAACAAACACAGTCATACAATCTACACATACAGGTACATTGTCGTACAAACACAGACATACATTCATACAGACACAGGCACTCACAGAAATACATACACAGACATAAAGAAACAGAGATAGGCATACAGAGACATACATACACAGACAAACAAAGAACCCTGCACACTGATACCGTGTAAATGCTCTGGCCATCAACAGAGGTGGATGCTCCATGTCAGGCAGACATTGCTGGATCCACCAGTAAAGTCTTCAAAAGGAATAAACGCAGGCAACACTCCAATAGTAAGGATGGTATATTTATTGGTAGGTGAACCACCCCATAGAAAGTGTGATGTTTCAGCTCATGCAATAAGGCTCTGCTGAGCCGAAACGACGCACTTTCTTTGGGGTGGTTCACCTATCAATAAATATACCATCCTTACTATTGGAGTGTTGCCTGCGTTTATTCCTTTTGAATACATTTACACAGTCATACAGAGACATACATACTGTATGTCTCTGTATGACGGTCTGTGTATGTACACAGGATGGCTAAAAGATAGATCCCCATCTGTCGTGCAACTTCAACAATGCTTTGAAAGCTGGGGCTCTACCGATTCCCCATGCTTGCAGGATTGTATTTAGCATGGAGCAGTATTTGTGTGTTTGACTGTAAGCATGTGTTTGTATGGAGTATGTTTGTATGATTGTAGCGGTGTGTTTGTATGTAGTGTTTGCATTTGAATGCAAGCATGCATTTATGTGTAGTGTTGGTTTTTGAACGCAGGTGTGTGTTTATATATAATTTTGGTGTCCGATACAGAGGTGTGTTTGTATGTAGTGTTGACATTTGAATGCAGGGGTGTGTTTGTATGTAGTGTTGATGTTTGCATGCAGGTGTTTATTTGTGTGTAGTGTTGGTGTTTGAATGCTGAGATATATGCACATATACACATACACTGCCACACACGCACACACTGTGATACACATACACAAAGATACACACACTGACACATGCAGATATACATATACACAAACTGATACACATTCAGATAGACACACAGATACACACAAACACTGACAGACATACAGATAAACACACAGTGACATACAGACACACATACACAATGATAGGGAAGAAGACACACAAAGACACACTAACAGACAGACACACAAACTAACAGACATTTAGATACACACAGACACACGGACAGAGACATATACATACACACACACACTGACAGACATACACACACACACTGACACACACACACTGACAGACATACACACACACACTGACAGACATATACACACACACTGACAGACATAGATACACACAGTGACAGACATAGATACACACAGACACACTGACAGACATAGATACACACACACACACTGACAGACATATACACACACACACTGACAGACATAGATACACACAGTGACAGACATAGATACACACAGACACACTGACCAACAGGTTCAGAAGGGGGGCTTACCTGGGATCCAAAGTGCTGCCTGAGGTAGTTGGGAGTTGGAGGAGCTGGTCCTGCCCAGCCCCCCTCCTCTCTGCCTTCTGCTGCTCTTGTCTTCTTGGGAGGACTTCCTCCCATGCTGACAAAAAGGGGCCGGTGGTAGCTCCGCCCCTGCTGTTCACCAGCCGCACTGTGTGCTACAGAGGGAGCAGGGATATGACGTTCATATCCCCGCCCCCTCCACACAGTCCGCGGCACTGCTGCAGGTTGGCGCTCGGCCACGCTACAAAAAGTGACCGGCAGGAGAGGGGAGCGGTGCGCTTCCCTCCTGCCGGCCACCCGGACATTTGCGCCCCCGGGCCGGTGCGCCCTAAGGCGGCCGCCTGTGCCGCCTTATGGACGCGCCGGCCCTGACCATTTGACATCACATTCATGAACTACTGTACAATCCGTGATCCCAAAACCTTGAAGGGGGAACTTGCAACACGGATTGCAAATGCCACATGTTTACCTCCTGGACATGAAATGACAAAACAATATGTCCAAATTCTATTAGGTAATTGGGTTTGTGAGCAAGAATATAAAAAAATCTAGAAGAGATAGTGCTAGACTACCAGTAATGTGACTTTAAAGTATAATAAATGTGTTTAGCAATCAGTATGTGTAAAAACAATACATTGTTCTTGTTTTAAATTGCATTTAATTTGTATAAACTGTTATTAGTAAGTCAGATAAATTTCTTAGACCAGTCCATCTATGGCCACACTTCCACGCAAACCCCTAAATTTAAAGTGTCCCTCTTTCCATTTTGAAATGCTGAAATATATGAAGTAGTTCATGAATGTGATGTCAAATGGTTCCCCTATTCATATCATCCCTGTGTGGTAATTTGTTTACATTTCCCCGTTAATCAGAAAAGGAATTACAGGATTATTCTTGGTATTCTAAAAGACAGCATTTAAAGAGTGTTATTTAAATATCCTTGATACAGATTAATTATGCTATCATCTAAATTGAAAAGTCTCATAATCCTTAGCAGCTCAGATACTAATAAGGACATGTTTGCTCATAACACTGGGTAAAACCTTCTCTAATAAAAGTCCTGTTTATAATAACATATCACACATAACATACACTATATACAAAATAAGGAAAATAAGGAAAATGTAAACCATACTTAGCATAATTTTCTTATTCTGGCTATTTATCATGACAGCATCACTTATAGGTAGCTCAGCCCTCAGGACCAGAACAGGACATGAAACAGAATTCAAATGAGACCAAGTGTATAAGGGTCCCTACTCCCTTCACACAACAGTACCTTATAAAGTCCAAAAAACACTAGGCAGGGAACATGATGCTGCCATGATAAATAGCCAGGAAAAGAACATTATGGTAGGTATGGTTTAAATTTTCCTTATTCCTGGCTAATCATGGCAGCATCACTTATGTGTAATACCCAAGCTAATTTAAGGGTAGGAGAAAAAATAAAATTTTACAATAATGATTACAGCACCAAAGTGATTTATTATAAACTGAACATAAGACAGAATATTATGAACCAAATTTAGTAGAGGTAGAGTCCAGATTCAACTTGTAGCGTTTAATAAATGTCCCTGGAGAAGACCAAGAGGCTGTCTTGTAGATATCATCCAGAGGCACCTCTGCCCAATTTGTCCAAGTTGTAGAAATAGATCTTGTAGAATGAGCTCTGATCTTGGTTTTATTATACTTTCAGTATGCATCTGCTATAACTGCTGATATCCAACGTATATGTGTTGAAGAAGATCCTGCGTCTCCTTTCCTGGAAGCATTAGGTAGGATGAAAAGTTTTTCAGATTTCTTAAAATGTCTTTAGTTTCCAAATATTTTATTAAATACTCTCGAATATCCAGTTCATGAAGCTTCACTTCCTCTGGAGTTTGAGGATTCGGAAAGAAGGATGGTAAAACTACTACTTGACCCATGTGGAAATTAGATACCACTTTAGGAAGGAACTTTTAAACCGGTTTAAGAAC